TGGAGCAGCAGAAGGATGGGTTGCAGAACTCAAATTCTAGTAAGTAGACCTGACTTAATGGTCTGACTGAGACTGGAGGTACCCTGGAAAGCATGGCCCCTGGACTCTCTATCAGCCCAGAACTAAAACAATTTCTGAGGCCAACTCTTCAGACAGGGATTGGACTGGACTGTGGGACATAAAGTGATGCTCATGAAGGGTGTGCCTCTTAGTCAAGTAGATACAAAAGACCAAAGGGGCAGCTTCTGTCCAGAGGTGAGAGGGGAAGGCAGGGAGGGTTAGGAGCTAGTTGAATGGAAATGGGGAATCAGAGGCAGAAAGGAGGAGTGTGCTGTCGCAGAATGGGGTGAGCAATTAGGGTCACAGAACAATGTATGTATAAATTTTTTTATGGGAGACTAACTTGAAATGTAAACTTCATTTAACTACAACAATTAAAAAAAAAATGCCTGTGAGCACCCATCTAAGATACTCCAATGGTCTCAACCCTTCAGGAGCAAGGGAGAATGAAGAGAACAAGATACAAGGAAAAGATTAGTCCAAAGGACTAATGGACCAAAGCTACCAAGGCCTCCACCAGACTGAGTCCAGTACAGCTAGATGGTGCCCAGCTACCACCACTGACTGCTCTGACTGGGATCACAGTAGAGGGTCCTGGACAGAGCTGGAAAAGGATGTAAAACAAAATTCTAACTCACAAAAAAAAGACCAGATTTACTGGCCTGATAGACTGGAGAAACCCCGAAAGTATGGCCCCTGGACACCCTTTTAGCTCAGTGGTGAAGTCACTCCCCAAGTTCACCATTCAGCCGGGGATTGGACAACCTCATAAAACAAAATGGGACTAATGAGGCACAGCAGTCCACGGACAAGGACTAGAAGGCAGGAGGGGACAGGAAAGTTGGTGATAGGGAACCCAAGGTTGAAAAAGGACAGTGTTGACATGTCGTGGGGTTGTTAACCCTTGTCATAGGGCAATATATGTACTAACTGTTTAATGAGAATCTATTTGTTCTGCAAACCTTCATCTAAGGTACTAAAAAAAAAAAAAACAATTATCTATGTGAGATCAAATTGACAACAGCAACTCAAAAGAAGCCTAGGGAGCAGTGAGTTGAAGATAATGGTGATGGAATAATTTGGAAAAGGATAGTGAGAATAGCAGCATTAACTGGAAGAATGCAATCGATGTCACTGAATTGTACACGCAGAAACTTTTGAAAAGGTGTAACTTTGGCTATGCGTATTTTTGCCAAAAAGTCCTCCAAGTTCGAGAAGGGAGAGTGTTGTTGACATGTCGTGGAGTTGTTAACCAATGTCATAAAACAATACGTGTACTGACTGTTTAATGAGAAACTATTTGTTCTGTAACCCTTCATCTAAAGTACAATAAAAAAATTTTAAAAAAATAAAAAAATGAAACTAATGGGGCACAACAGCCCAGGGACAGGGACTAGAAGGCAGGAGGGGACAGGGAAGCTGGTAATAGGGAATCCAAGGTCGAGAAGGGAGAGTGTTGACACGTCGTGGAGTTGTTAACCAATGTCATAAAACAGTATGTGTACTGTTTAATAAGAAACTATTCTGTAAACCATCTAAAGTACAATAAAAAAACTTAAAAAAAAAAAGAAAGACTCATGACTGACAGAAACCAATCTCTTTCCATTACCTGATTCTACTGGAAAATGTGGGGGAAAGTGATCATATTACCATAGTATTTGCAGTGCAGTATCCAAAAAAGGAAACCTTGGCTATAATTAGATGTAAACCCTAAATATAAGAAAAGCCAATATCAGAAAGTTCAGGGAGAAGATAAAGACAATCCCAAAGGTCAAAGACTAAAAGCCAAAACTCAAACCCACTGGCGTCATGTTGATTCCAACTCATAGCAACCCTATAGGATAATACACACACACACACACACACACACACAATAATATACATAAAACACCTGGCACATAGTAGGCACTTAATATACGGTAACTTCTATTATCATTGTATACTTTGCTATAGTGAATCTAAGATAGGAGGTAGACTATATTGGTGTATCTTATTGAAAGATGACTACGTAACATGAGAAGATACTTCTTTTGACCTCGTAGCCTTTAACATAGAGCAGCCTAATTCTATAGCAGAAGTGGTCACTATCAGTGGAATGCTAATTTGAAAAACTTCAGTTTTAATAGGCCCATATGCTCTTTTGGTAGCTGTTCAGACCCAAGTATGACACAGAGAATATTAAATATACCTCAAAATAGTATGTAAATCTTGCCTTGAGAACAAACAAATAACAACACTAATGCAAGAGGCTCAGCAGATCAGATATAAGTCAAGTTGGTTCTATGGAACCTGACAAAAGCTGAGGCAAGAAAAAGAATTAGGCTAGAGAATCGAGGAATATTCCTTAGGAGAACATCAGAAATAAAAGTTATCTGTGGTTGCTATTAAAGCTAGCAGGGATATTCTATCCTCTCCAGTACAGATTGGAGCCAAGGGGTCTTAAGAGAAAATAAACCAGTTGTGGAAATGTAGCCAATCTAACTCTGTTCAGTTTAGTCAACAGTAGAGGCAGGAGCCTGAAAAAGTAAGGAAAGAAAGGAAGGACAAATATCCCCCAGTATCCATCCCTTCCTTTGGGTACCTTAGAGAAACAGAAATATGTCCATCTCCCAGATATTCTGTGCCTGGGTTCTTTCCCTTCTAGACTACTGTATGTCATTATCACACTATGCAAATTGTAATAGCTGCCATACCAGAATTTTCTATAGTAGTGTTTTGACTCAACTGCTACGGTTTATCAGTATCTATCCAACAATGTTTCCAGCTCTGTCCTCACTTCTGCTATTGACTTCAGTCAGCTCTAATCCCCAGAAGCAGCTATGTCAGAGTGAGAATAGAAGTTGCTGCAACAAGGCCCAGAAAGCAAAGCTACTATTACCAGAGGCCATAAAAAGTCTAAGTTTTCACGTGTCTACTGAATAGACCTCAATGCATTTTGCCCTCTAGCTTAGGAAAGGCATAAAGGAAAAGTCACAGAGGTGGGCCAAATTAGAGTTTAAATTCTATCCAGAATTTCAAAGGAAAGAGTATTCCTTTGACATAAAGCAAGAATCTAGATGCTCTAATCTTTTCTTAAATTAGGAAGCTATAAAATTTAGGGACTTTATGTTCTACCCAAATGCTTTGGAGTATAATCTCTCTGGATTTCCCCCAAGGGATGTTAATACAGTTGAATTCCTAATAAACTGTTCTCCATGACTTGATTCTATCCAAAACAGAAAACAAAAAGCAATGTCAAATCACAAAAATCATTATGGCACTAAAAACCAAACTAAGACTTCTTATTCAATTTGTATATGTGATTTATGGTAATGAGTTAGAATTTGATTGATTTTTGTACCAAGTTACCTCAGGATGTAAACTTCTTGTGTTACCTTGAGATGCTCTAGGACTAATAGAGAGTTCTCCTTCAAGAGACTGCTGGGTGGACAGGACGGATCTGAGAAGCCTGTAGGAAGTGGAGCCCCAACAGCTGAGCTCTGCATGGAGATTACGATCTCTCTCTCTCTCACACACACACACAAACACACACACACAAACAGAAACATACACACACGTAATTTCCTTCCTTCTTCTTTCCCGGTTTTCTATAACTGCCAGTCATCGTACCTCCCTGCCCCCACATTATCTCTCAGCCTGGAATTTATTGGATTCCAATGAAGGAAAAACAACCAAAAAAAAAAAGCATCTAAGCCCTTGCCACAGTCAGTTTCCTTGTCTCATATCTCTCTTCCCCTCTCTCCCAAGACCCACTGGATCTCGTAAAGGATCTGCTGCCTCCTTGTTGTTGGACCTCCTTGTGTGTTTCCTGGCCTAACGCTTCTTTTCATTAGATCAGTATTCCAGGTCGAAGTCCTTTCTGTAACACTCAACATCCTCCCACCTCCACACATCTATTCAAACATCTGAGTTTCTAAAACTGGGGGTCATTGGGTCAGACAGGGAATGGCTAAGCAGTGGGAGAGGAGAGGAGGAAAGAAGGGAAAGAAAGAGGAGAGAGAGGGAGAGAGGCAAAGAATATAGCCTCCCCAATAAATCACAGATTCCTTTTGTTCCTCAAAAGACAACACATGATATGTTTTGAAAATCATTTACTAACAAATCAATTTACATGCTCTAAATATTTGTACTTACCATTTCCTGATTATCCCTAAGCATAAGAAGATAGGAGTCTTTGGCTAAGCAGAATTCCAGACTAGAATTCCAGTCATTTTTATCCACTGAGAAGTAATAACAATGGTCACCATACGTCATCCAGAGGTCTGGGCAGCTAGGAGAATTGGCACAAGTGGGGTAGCTGGAGCCTAGAAAGGAAGACGACCTGGTTCACATTGGTTCATATCTTTCTGGACCACTCAGTCTTGGGAATTAAATGAAGATAAAATGCAATATGGCAGTTCCAATGTCTTTTCTGCCCCACCACCATTTGGATAAAGGTTTAGAGAAATGCACAACACCACTTCACAATGTCCAGCTCCATCACTACTACTATAATTGCACTAAGCAAGGATGAATTATGACTAAAGGAACAGGGAACAGTATGTGGCACAATTTGGCTGGGGATGTGGAGAGAGTGCATTACTCGTGCTAGAGATCTTTATGCACATGTGATATATGCATATAAGATAAAATAACTGTGTGGTTGCATGGTATGTATTAGTGTATTCTCTGTATACACTCACTGCATAATTTGTTTAACTGTATAATGTACTTTGTTTAAATAAGGCAAAATCTTTCAGAATGCCAAAACTCAACATGATACCTCATGATGGTGCATAAGAAAAGGAGAGAGACTAGAAAGAGCAACCTTAACTAGAATGAAAAGTTTTACCTTTTTATTATCACAGATGTAATTGTCTATTACCATTGGAGATTAGATAAATGACTTACGCTTCACCAAAGGAATTTACTTTAGATATTTTTTAAAAAGCCTTCTGACAGAGAAGGGTATCAGGCACTAAAGTGGAAAGTGACAGAATTCTTACCGAGCTGTTTTAAATACAGGCAGATTCTCATTTCCTTTAAATAATGTGGTTGGTTTTGTCAGAGTGAAACAGAACTGAATAAGTATCCAAGGTAATTTCAACCAAGATTCCAAATTCTATTGACTTTCCATTTTAATGAAACTCATCTGCATAAACTTATCATAAGCACCAATATCATAGTGGGCATGTATGAGGCATTATACAGTGAAAACTGTGAGAGCCAGAACTCGACAAGACTGCCTTGTTTTTCTGCGTCTTGAAAGTTTTCCACATCTGACAGGTTGCAGTCTTACCACTTTTCTATTGCTCTCTATTAAGAACCCTACCTCATAAACACCCAGTGAGTTTTCCTTCTCTGACAAGCTTCTGCCTTACACAGGTTCTGGCTTTCACGGATTTTACTGTACAATGTAAGCACATGTGTAGATATAGAATTGCAGAATAAATTATATATTTATTCTAGATTTGAGAGTTTAAAAGTGGGAAAAGTAGTTCTTTTTATGTAAAGATTGGACAACTTTTCTATGGGAAGGCTTGGCATGGAAGCAATACAGAGTTCCAGGGATTTAGCTATAAAGTGGCGCCTTGTAGATTTGTGTCTTTCCCATACAACCATAACCTTACCCATTACTCAGCCTGTATCAGAAATTCTCAACTTCCCTCAGTCTCTTTCTGTCAAGGCTAGGACTGGGATCTGAGGCAGAGGTTCTAGGGCTGAACCAGGACTCCGTGTAACCTAGCAATAATCCCCAGATAACACAGACCCAAGTTAGGACTCCGGATTATGAAACAATAAACTAAGTGTCCTCTGGATTATCAGATTTAAGGAGCCAGAAGAATTAAACCTAGAAAAGTTAGCTTTAGAAAATGTGAAAACTACTAAATGGAAAAAAAAATCAGAATATGTTTATTAAATTATGATATATTCATTATGTAAAAAGTTAAACACAATCAACCTTATAATTATAATGTTTAATTTTATGATTATGATAAATATGGTAGTAAGAAAATATTTATGATACAATATAAAATTAAAAAGCAATATATAATATCATAAGCATACTCTGATTAGAATTATACCTAGTCTTACTTAAGAAAAAAAAGAAGTTGGGGGGATTTTAGAGGACTTGATTGCAATTCTGTTAAGAAAACAAACACCTACGCAAATCATCAAAGGTCAGGAAGCTACACCCCAAAACAGTAAATAGTTGTATGAGAACCCACCCATTGCCATCAAGTCAATTCCAACTTATAGTGACCCTAGTGGTGAATTTATTTTGTTTGGATTCATTTTCATTTTTCAAATTTTCTATTATGTTATATTGCTTTTTAATACAAAATGGAGAAAGTAAAAGATAAGTTTGGTTTAAATTAGCACTTACCCTTGCACAGAATCCACCAATGTAGCAGCAAACCGGTAAGAATTACAGTCAGAAGCCCCAAAGCTGTTGCCACATAGCAAGAAAGAGAAGGCCTGGAACAAGATGCTACAAGAATAAAAACCAAAGCAAAATCTTGAGTCAGAAGAGAAGTTGAGGGAAAAGGGCAGGTCAGGGAAGGATAATCTGGGATCTGGGAACAATTTGACCCAGTGGGAAATGAGATCTAGATCCTTTCCTGGATCTGTCAGGGACTTGCTCTAAAATCCAGTGTAACCACCCACACCTTTATCAAAGAATATACTCTACCTATGAAGTTAAAGTGTATTTTTTCCCCTTTGTAATTGTGACTACACAGCCTCATACTGCACTTGTGGGAGAATAAATTGGTACAACCTCTTTGGAGGACAATTTGGGAAAGTCTACCAAAATTGCAAAGGTCTTTACACTTTGATCCAGAAATTTCTCCTTGAGAACTTTTTCCTATAGATACTCACACATGTGCAAAATACCATATTTATAAGGCAATTCATGGCAGCAATATTTGTAGAAGGAAAGATTGAGTATCACCTAAATGTCTAGCAATAAAAGACCAGTCGAATACATTTTGATACAACCATAAAGCAGATAATAATATACAGCTTCTAACAAAGGAAGGAGTCCCTGGGTGTTGCAAACAGTTAGCATGCCTGGCTGCTAACTGAAAGGTTGGAGGCTTGAGTCCACCCAGAGGTGCCTCAGAAGAAAGGCCTGATGATCTAGTTCTGAAAAATCAGCCTTTCAAAACCCTATGGAGCACAGTTTTACTTGGAATTGACTTGATGGTAACGTACATTTTTTACTAATATGGAATGATTTCTCAAGATATTTGATTACGGGAAAAAAATTATGCAAAACAATGTATGCTAATATTTCTGAAAGCAAACACAAGAATCTGATAACACTGTTTGCCTCTGGGGAGAGTACTGGGTCACAGAGGACAGAGATAGAAGGAAGAATTTTTACCTTATTTTCTTTTGTACCTTTTGAATTTTGAACCATGTGAATATCTTACCTATTTAAGATTTAAATAAATAAAATTTAAATGAAAAGAAAATGACTGTGGTGCCATGGCCATCCCAGAGGTAGAAAGAGGGGACCTCACTACCACCAAGAAAAGATGGGAGCGAAGCACATACTTTGGACCTGGGGTCTCTGTGCTGAGAACCTCCTAGACCCAGGAGACACAGAGAGAGAGAGCTGTAACACCGAAGATTGTGCAAGAAGATGAGAAACAGCAACAGGGAAAGGGAAGCAGCAGAACCAGGAGACCAGCATCAGACAGTGCAGTGGGCTTCCCAGCCCACGGAGTAAGGCAGTTACAGTGTGTGCGCTGACCCATGAAGCGAAAGAGCTGAGCACCTTCAGGCAGGAGGCTTGCTGGTGGAGTAGGGTGCCTCCAATCACCTGTCAGAAGAGCTAGGCTTGCCGACCCACGGAGCTAGAGAGCTGAGCACTTTTGGGCCGAGGCTTACTGGCAGAGTGGGATGCCCCTGGGCATTTACTGGCAAAGCTAAAAAGCTTTTTAACATTTTCCTGAGCAGGTCAGAGTCTGGGCCAATGGGCCAAGGGGTCAAGGGCCAGAGAGAGGCATGCCTGCGGGCACAGCTAAGAAGAGGCTGTACTAATCGAAGAACTGTATCCTGAACGTTCCTGAACCTGAACTGCAACTATTACTTCCCTAATAAACTCCATAACTGTACGGTCTGTGAGTTCCATGTGGCCATTGCAACAAACTATCAAACCCAGCAGGGAAGTAGAGAGTGCCATGGGAGGGACAGCTGGTGTCAGAACTGGTAAAAATGTTGGAGGATGGTGTTATGTCTGATCTCCACTTCATAGCAATCAGCCTTGCGTTGTTGATGCTGATAATGATTCTCCTCCCACCTTGTGAAGTTAGACAGGGAGGTCTGACACTGCCGCTACGCCATTTTTACAGTTGGTGCCTTTTTTTTTTAAACAATGACATATATCTCAGAAGTGCTTCGTAAGCTGTCGTCTTTGGAAAAGCAATGACTTTAGGTTAATGATATGTTTAAGGATGGGACACTACTTCATGTTAACTTATGTGGCATATAACCTAGAACCAGAAATGTTATTTTTTTTACCTAGAAAATGGAGATATTTTCCCAAACTTTAATTTCAAATTCATAGGTGTCTTATAGTATGATAGTGTAGGAGTTATGTGTAAAGAGCAAAAATTTATAAAGTAGGGTATTTAAGTTCTGGTTTTGACTCCTTTATTTAGGCACATTTCATTAGAAAATTAAGAAATTAAGTTTGTCTAATTTGGCTTCGATGAAGGCAGTAATGCTTCAGTGGCAGAATTCCTCCTTTCCATGTGGGAGACTCAGGCTCAATTCCCAGCCAATGCACCTCACACGCAGCTATCACCTGTCTGTCAGTGGAGGCTTGTATGTTACTATGATGCTGAATAGGTTTGAGTAGAGCTTCCAGACTAAGATGGACTAGAAAGAAAGGACTGGTGATCAACTTCCAAAAATCAGCCAGTGAAATCCTATGGAGCACTATGAACAACAAACCATGGGGATAGCACAGGACCAGGCAGCGTTTCCTTCCATTGTACACGGGGTTACAATGAGTCAGGGGCCAACTTGAAGGCAACTAACAACATTTGGGCCTCATTTTCCTATTTAAATTTTAGAAAAATCATCCTGTAGATATGTGTGTGCACCTATGAGGCATTCTGAACTTCTTAAAAGAAAGAACTTCATAGGGAGAGATGCATTTATAAAGTCCTGATCACTTACCTGTAAAAAAAAAAAAAAAGCAGTAAAAAGAGAAAATTCTGCATGATAAATACTTAGACTGATGAATCCAAGACCACTAGATTCTAGTGACATTAAAAATAAAAACTATCTACATCATAGAAGAATATTTAATGAAATGGACAAATGTTACTAAAAATGAAAATGTTAATTAAATATTACACGAAATGAAAAGTATCAAAACATGATTGCATTTGTGTAATAATCATCATCCAATTCAAGAAGTTCAGTACAATGAAAAGTATTTTTAAATTTACTTTGATAAAATATATATTAAAAGCCTCTTAATAGAGGACATATGGTGGCATCAGCAAAGATAGAAAAGCAAAAATACATCAAAAAAGAATAAAGATAAGTTCCATGTCATAGAATTATTACTTATTTTTATTTTCTTATTTTTGCTTTCTCTTATTTTTCATATTTTCTGTGATGAACATGTAATACTTGCGTAAAAAAAAAAATTTTTTTAATATCATTTTTAAAGCTCCTTATCTATTTTCCCATTCCTAAGTACAGCACCCTGGAAAGCCGGGGTAGGGATGAACATTGTGGCAATAAATAAAAATGTGTAATGTGTGCTGTGTATAAATAAAAACCATGGGCCTAGAAATCAAAATAATTATATTCAAATTCCAACTTATCACCAGTTTTGTGACTTTGGACTTATACTTTAAGATGTACATTTCTTTTGACTTAATATTTCCACTCCTTATAAATTAGCTCAAAAAGGAAAACGTTATGCAAATAAAAATGTCCAGTGCAGAATTATTTATACTAAACTCATTGCCGTCAAGTTGATTCCAACTCATAGTGTCCCTATAGGACAGAGTAGAACTGCCCCATGGGGTTTCCAAGGAACAGCTGGCAGGTATGAACTGTCAACCTTTTGGTTTGTAGCCAAGCTCTTAACCACTGCACCACCAGGGCTTCATTATGTTTTTTTATTTTTTTAATTTTTTATTTTTCTTTTTATAGTAACAGAAATAAGTCTAAATGCCCAAGAATACTGAAATGATTTAGGACAGCATTAAAAACTATAATATTATGACTACGTAGCAACAAGAAAGTTTATACAAATGAAAAAAATTGCAAAGTACATATGATTTTTAAAATGATATAAAATAATTATATAAAATTATGTAGGCATATAAACCCAAAGGAAATGGGAACATGGAAAAATTAAAATAATTAAAAGTTGGCAGAAATTTGGGCAGTAATTTTCATTTCTTTTATTGTTCTTAAAATGTTTGTGAAATAATTATCAAAAATCTTTATTTGCTTTTTAAAAAGGCAATGTCCTTAGTTTCAACATAGCAGCTGAGCAATATGAGAAAAGCAAGTCTTTGACTATTTCACCGATTTTGAAGAGTGAAAAGATCTAGCAGTAGCACCGGCACAGCAAATTGGCTTACACTCTGCTGTGCTCACATCTGCTTTATAGGAGTATATGAACACCTGTTGTGAGATTTTATCTGGGAAGTCCCTCAATCCACCTCCCAAGATAGAGTTTTCTACACTAGTGCTTTCAGGGAAATTAGTCAATAAGGAAAGATCCACTAGGCAAGAATGAAAGAAAATCAACCACATATTTTACAACCTTCAATGCTGTCTTACTTTAGTAGCTTGTTTTTTGTTGTTGTTGTGTGTAATTTTTACAACTAACAATACAATTATCTTGGGTTGAAAGAGATCTGCTAATACTCCTGCTTTTCTACAATCTATAATCAATCTAGTTCTTCAAAGGGCTCTAGGAAAGGAAATTACAGAACTTCCACATATAACAATGTCAATTTGAACCTGGAGCTACAATAAAGAACATACCCTCTGGGAGTCTACTGCCCAAGATATAAAATCAAATATTAATTTTAGAATTTACACTATTATCTGTCTATCTCAGGTAGTGTTCTCAGGGCTCTATGTAAAAATGTTCGCTTGTTTCTTTTTTTCTTTGTTTTTCATCCTAAAATCCCCAGAGAATCACAGCGATTACTTCTCTGTAGTGTTCTTGATAACTTTTTCCTCCCCCCATCCCCCACCCCATCACCAACACTGGGGGGTAGGGGAGAGGGGGAAGGAGGCCTATATACGTGAATCATTCTCTTTCCTGACAAAATCTTACCATTACCCATTAGCAAAAATATTGGCATCTTTATCCTTGTTTCACAGTCAGAAAAACAGAGATGCCTAGAATTTAAACAGCTGGTTCAAGGTCACTCCAAACATAACTAAAAAGATAAAGTTCTTCTGACAAAGCTCTTGCTTTAGCATAGCAACCCTATACGACAGAGTAGAACTGCCCCATAGGGTTTCCAAGGAGCAGCTGGTGGATTCAAACTGCCAACCTTTTGGTTAGCATCCTGAGCTCTTAACCACTGCACCACCAGGGTTCCTTAGTTCAGAAGGGAGTAATGAAGAATAAGAGCATTGGCCTAGCTTTATTTCCACAGATGGGATCATAGAAGTGAATGGTTAGAAAAGAATTTACCTGAGTCCTGAGATCAGATCCTGCACTACCTAGCAAATTTTCATATTACTATTCTGGACAGACTTCAAACTGAACCAAAAGAATTTCCTCAAATTATCCTGGATTTTTCTGCACCCTCTACTCCAAACTTATTCCACCTCCATTCACCCTTAGCCTATGATCACTATGCACAGTCTTCCACATTCACTTGTTTAACTCACCTTTTTGCTGCTGTCTGTAGTCATTGTGAACTTGGGGTGCAGTAGGCAACTCTAGGGAGTAAATGGCACTGTCAGTTAGCTCCATCGATTATCATTCACATCCAGTTGACAGAATAAAATCTAAAAGTGTAGAGAGAGACATGTATCAGTAAAGAAACAGCTCAACCTCTAAACTGCTAGCAGGAAACTTGAAAATTGGTTTAAAAAAAAAAAAGTCGACAACTCTCCAATCCAACAAGACAAAAGCAGAAGTAATTTTTCAGGAAATGATTCAACTGCAGGGCTACCTATAGGAGCTAATATTCTAAATTGTGGTATTTTTGCTCCTACCACTCTGTAGATGTTCATTAAATACATATTGGATTGATCTCCCATCTCATCTAATTCTATGGAGCAAAGAACATTTCTCTTAAATCCAGCAGTCTTGATTATGGAAATTGGAATAAAAATAAGAGCCATCCCCAGCTACGAATTTTTTTGCAGATTTTGTCTGTTTTGTTTCCTTCTGAGAAAACAGATAATTGCCAAATGGGACTAAATGCATTGTTTCTTAGACCTTTTGGGTAGATAAGGGATAGAGAAATGGACTCTTTGCTGCATATGCCTGGATTCACTGCAGAAATGGACTATTACCCAGATGTGAGAATATGACATATCCCTAACTCAAACATTCTGCCAACTGTGCCCTAATCTTTATGCTTCACGGTGTTAGAAATTCTATTAAATTTTCTCTCCTTATTGTCTTATTTGTACAGGCAAAGATAACCGTACAGGGGAACAAATTATACAAGTACATGTAAAGTTTTAATAATTTATTTCTAGTAAGTAAAAGGTTAATAAACATTAAGGTAAGGGAACTAAAACTCTGAGACTAGATAAGGTCACCAAGACAGAGTGTACAGAGATATATACAGAAGAGATGACAGAAGAGAGAAGTAGGGAGTGAATATTAATAAAAAACACACAGTTCTGCTTCCAGCCATGACAGAGCGGTACTGTTGCCTCCTGCAAAAAACTATACATGCAAAATACAGGAGGCAAGTGTTTGGGAGCATAGAACAACAGGCAGCACCATGATCCCTGAGAGAACAGAAACACACAAAGGTGAGTTCTATGATCACCCTGGCTTTCTACCGGCAGCCACTTGCTGGCACAAAGCAGAAAAATGAATTCCAAGTACAGCAGCAATACCACAAAGTGCAGGAGGCAGAGATCAGAGTTTTGAGCTGTGTAAGTGGCTGCAATTTGCAAGACAGTATCTGACAAGAGAGAGCTACACAGAGAGATGCCCAGAACACTGTGCAGGAATTTCCACAGGTCCCTAGCTAGACTGTCCAAGCATAAGATAAGACTCCACGAGTCTTAGCTGAGGTGGCCTCCCACAGGGCTGAGGACTAAATAGCGATACCAGAGGTGGTACAGTGCTGACCCGCCCTAACAAAGAACAAAACAAAGCCTGACAGAACCAAACAGATCCATCAGTAATTTAGCTGTCTACAAGAACAAATTTTCATGCCCTTAAAAGGAAGACAACATAGGATCCAGGGCTCCTTGAAGAAATGGTTAACACTAGGCCAGGGCTGATAAAACATGGGCCTGGAGCATCTTGCAGTGCCAGAAGATAAGGAAGTACACACACACAAACTGAAACCACAGGATGGGGGCATGTCATAAGGACACAGGAACCAACCTAAAAGAGTTCCCAATGTTCAAAGCTGGAATGATTTGAAGAACAAAACAAATAACAGTATTGAATTATAACCCAAAGAATAAAAAATAAAATCCACAGTTTTATACTGATATAAATAAATGATTAAATAAATAAGTAAATGAGGGAGAAGGGACAAATTATCCTTACAGATGATTCCAAATAATAGATGTAGATACTCCCCCTACAGGACGTGGAGATTAAATCCCCTTTCCTTTATTTAGTGTGGGCAGGACTTAGCAACTCATTTCCAAAGAATAGAGCATGGGCAGGAAACCATAGTACCACTGAAGTAGAGAATCCTAGCAAACACCACTTTGACCAAGTGAACAAGACTAATGTTACCAACGATAAGAATGGTTAATATCATGAATCCCCTAATTTCTCATATTTAAACTGGGATTGTGGGTTTTGGAAGAAAATACCATAGAAGATGCAATGAGAAGGTATTTTCACCCAAAACCCATGGCGTTGTTGTTAGCTGCCGTCGAGTCGGTTCCGACTCATAGCAACCCTATGCATAAAAGAACAAAACACTGCCCGGTCCTGCACCATCCTCAAAATCCTTGCTATGTTTGAGCTCATTATTGCAGCCACTATGTCAATCCATCTTGTCAGGAGTCTTCCTCTTTTTCGCTGACCCTATACTTTACCAAGCATGATGTCCTTCTCCAGGGACTGGTCCCTCTTGATAACATGTCCAAAGTACTTAAGATGAAGTCTCGCCATCCTCACTTCCAAGGAGCACCCTGGCTGTACTTCCTTCAAGACAGACTTGTTTGTTCTTACGGCGATCTATGGTATATTCAATATTCTTTGCCAACGTCATAATTCAAAGGCATCAATTCTTCTTTAGTCTTCTTTATTCACTGTCCAGCTTTCTCATGAACATGAGGCGACTGAAAATATCATGGTTTGGGTCAGGCACACCTTAGTCCTCAAACTGACATCTTCGCTTTTTAACACTTTAAAGAGGTCTTTTGCAGCAGATTTGCCCAATGCAATATGTTATTTGATTTCTAGACCGTTGCTTCCACGGGTGTTGATCCTGGATTCAAGTAAAATGAAATCCTTGATGATTTCAATGTTGCTTATCGTCCAGTTGTAAGGATTTTTGTTTTGTTTATGTTGAGGTATAATCCATACTGAAGGCTCTCGTCTTTGATCTTCATCAGTAAGTGCTTCAAGACTTCTTCGCTTTCAGCAAGTAAAGTGTCATCTGCATATCGCAGGTTAATGAATCTTGCACTAATCCTAGTGCTACATTATTCTTCATACAGTCTAGCTTCTCAGATTATTTGCTCATCATACAGATTAAATAAGTATGGTAAAAGGATACAACCCTGAAGCACACCCTTCCTGGTTTTAAATCACACAGATCGAGTGCCTCTTGATCTGCATATAGGTTCCTCACGAGCACAAGTCAGTGTTCTGGAATTCCATTCCCATTCTTTACAATGTTATCCATGATTTGTTATGATCCACACAGTCGAATGCCTCTGCATAGTCAATAAAACACAGGTAAACATCTTTCTGGTATTCTCTGCTTTCAGCCAAGATCCCTCTGACATCAGCAATGATATCCCACATTCCACATCCTCTTCCGAACCCAGCTTGAATTTCTGGCACTTCCCTGTAGATGTACTGCTATAAACATTTTTTAATTATCATCAGCAAAATTTTACTTGAGTGTGATATTAATGATATTTTTCAATAATTTCCACATTCTGTTGGATTACTTTTCTTTGGAATGGGCACAAATATGGATGTCTTCCAGTTAGTTGCCAAGTAGCAGTCTTCCAATTTCTTGACATAGAAGAGAGAGCACCTCCAGCACTGCATCTGTTTGTTGAAATATCTCAATTGGTATTCCATCAATTCCTGGAGACTTTTCACCAGTGCTTTCAGTGCAGCCTGAATTTCTTCCTTAAGTACCACTGGTTCTTGATTATGTCTATCTCCTGAAATAGCTGAACATCGACCAATTATTTTTGGTACAATGACTCTGTGTATCCCTTCTATCTTCTTTTGATGCTTCCTGCATCATTCAGTATTTTGCCCATAGAATCCTTCAATATTGCAGATCGATGCTTGCATTTTTCTTCAGTCCTTTCAGCTTGAGAAATGTCAAGTGTGTTCTTCCCTTGTGGTTTTCTAACTCCAGGTTTTTGCACATGTCATTATACTACTTTACTTTGTCTTATAGAGCCACCCTTTGAAATCTTCTGTTCAGCTCTTTTACTTCCTTTCTTCCATTTGTTTAGCTATTCTACATTCAAGAACAACTTTCAGAGTCTCTTCCAACATCCATTTTGGTCTTTTCTTTCTTTCCTGTCTTTTTAATGACCTTTTCCTTTCTTCACATATGATGTCCTTGATGTCATCCCACAACTCATCTGGTTTTCAGTCATTAGTGTTCAATGTGTCAAATCTATTCTTGAGATGGTCTCCAAATTCAGGTGGGATGTACTCAAGGTCGTATTTTGGTTCTCATGGACTTGTTTTAATTTTGTTCAGCTTCAACTTAAAGTTACATATGAGCAATTTATGGTCTGTTCCGCAGTCGGCCCTGGTCTTGTTCTGACTGATGATATTGAGCTTTTCCATCATCTCTTTCCACATATGTAGTTGGTTCAATTCCTGAGTTTTTCAACCAGTGAGACCCACTTGTATAGCTGCCATTTATGTTGTTGAAAAAAGGTCGTTTGTATTGCAAAATTCTATCACGTGATCTCCAGCATTGCTTCTATCACCAAGACCTTATTTTCAACTACCAATCTTTCTTCGTTTCCAACTTTTGCATTCCAATCACCATTATCAATGCATCTTGATTGCATGTTTGATCAATTTCAGACTGCAGAAGTTGGTAAAAATCTTCAATTTCCTCATCTTTGGCATTAGTGATTGCTGCGTAAATTTGAATAATAGTTGTACTAACTGGTCTTCCTTGTAGGCATATGGACTTACAAAGCGTATGAACCTACAAAACCCATAATCCCAGTCTAAACATGAGAAATTCTAAATTAAGGTGTATTCCATAAAATATCTGACCAGTACTCTTCAAGATTACCAAGATCATGAAAAACAAGGGAACTCTGGGACACTATCAGAGAACAGAGATGATAAAAGAAACATGACAACTAAATGCAATGTGGTATCCTGGATTGGATTCTGGGGGAAAAAAGGGGATTAGTGGAAAATTGGTAAAATCTGAATCAAGTTCGGAGTGTAGTTAATAAAAATGTAGCAATGTTAATTTATTAGTTTTGACAAACATACCATGATTATGGAAGGTGTTAACATTAGGGGAAATGGAATGTAGGGTATACAGGAATGCTCTGTGCTATCTTTGAAACTTTTCTGCAAATCTAAATTATTCCCAAATAAAAATGTTATTTAAAATAAATGAAGAAAATATAAGGCAGATGCCATATATCATACCTAATATCCAACATAAAAAAAATTAGAATGC